CACAACAACCTCGTCATTCACAACATCCTCGTCATTCACAACAACCTCGTCATCTACAACATCCTCGCCATCCACAACAACCTCGTCATTCACAACAACCGCGTCATCCACAACACCCTCGTCAGTCACAACAACCTCGTCATCCACAACAACCGCGTCATCCACAACTAGCTCATCATCTTTGGCAACTCTATCGTCTACAACGATGCAGCCATCCACTGCAGCGTCGATGTCACGAAGTCTTTATGGGCCATTTATGTTTTTCTATCTTGCTTACTTATTTCATCATAACTAGTAGAGTATCCAGTAATAACTTTTTCAGAACATTCACTTCTTATCAATTGATTTTGTAGAACTCTGTTTTATAACATAACACAAAACTGAGTTTTAGTTCTCCTTTATTTCCTTTTTTGAAACAAAGAATCTTCCATTTGAAAAATGTATGCATGTTTTTCTGTCTGTTCAAGCCAATCAGATTTCAGCATCTTGAGGGTGGGTGTGGGTGTGGGGTGTGGGGTGTGGGTGTCAGTATCATTTTATCCTATTACTCACACCCACACCATAGAGATGTATCTGCAGCTTTTAGAAATTCAATTGCATTTGTACAATTATATTTTTCGTTGATAAAACGACGAATTATGCACTTTATAACAGCGTCTATACTGTCACAGGGACCTTTTCCGTTTTGAAGATTTAAAAAATCAATGGATTTTATTCATATTCCTGTCTCTTTTGAAAGCTGTACAACACTTAGCAATGCCTCGGTACCATGGTAGTAACCAGCATTATCCGATCTCAAGTTTATATATTTGATATTTGGTGATGTTTGCTGAAGACATAGAAATATATAACGAATTATTGAAACTACAGTTTTTGCATTCTGAACACATTGATCAAAAACATGGCAAAAAACTCTATGTTCGTATTTATTTTCATCTGGACCATATTTATGAGCAGATGCTTGTGAATCAAAGGATGTGTCAAATGAATTTGAAAATGATGACGAAGAATTATTACGAACTACGAAAGCAATGTGCCACGATAAGCCTGTCTTTGTAAAGTGATCTTTCTAAAAATATGAAACAATTCAATCATACAAAGATCATACATACACCATACTCACTTTAGATTCTCTGTACTTCGTTGGAAACCACTTCATGGCCCAATCAACATGGATCGTTACAGTTTCATAATCAAGATTATCTAAAATATTTATACGAGCTTGATCTTGATGAACAGTTCGCAACAGGTGCGCTTTCCAAGCTTGTAAATAACCAATTTGCTGTTGTACACGAAACGAAAGACATTCACATATACCAAAATCAGTCTGGTACTGTTCAATAAATGTTCGAATTTTCGCCAAAGTGACCTTCAATAGTTCACATCGATTGAATTGTTGATCATACTTGTGATCATAGCGTTGACGTCAGCATTTTTCGGCGGAATTGCTAAGTGCATGGACTAAACAGTGGTCGGCTACTGAACCGTCGCAGGAATAATGTACTTTGTAATCGGATTTTAAATAGTTTCGACTATATTGAAGATCCTGTTTTGGTATAATTACATGGTATGCCGACAAACCTACAAGATGAGAAGAAGAAGGTTAAAATAGTCACAATGGATATTTTCGCCGGAAACTTAACTAAACACCAACGAAAATATTTTATTCTCTGTCTTCAGTCTTTTATTAGCAACAGAAACAAACTTACTTGACACTATCAAAGAATCAGCAATCAAGTTTTACATGGAAACATGTGTATAAGAGAATGTGTTTTAGTTTCATAATCATAACAAATGAAGTGAAAACGTATTTTAAAAATCCTGGTCAGTACTAGTTTTCGAGAATATTACATTTGTAAAATTTAAATTTTTGAATCACAATGTGTGTGCGGGTGTGTGTGTGTGGAATGGGTGTGACTGGGTGTGGGCGCGGCCTCTGTATGAGATAATACTCACACCTGCACTCACACCCACACCCACACCCTAGCTGTTCATACCCACAAAAACAACTCTTTTTATTTTTTGAAAAAAATAAACTACAAATTATTGAGCTCGTTCTAAACACTACCATTATCGACACGAAACATTGTGTTGTTGTTTATTTCCTCTTACTATCACACACTCTCACCCTCTATCAACAGTAACAAAGTCATGTGCAGCGGCAAAGATCAAAACCATATTCAGCACCAATGCTACCAAAATGGTAGTAATAAAAGTAACTACATGTTACTATCGGCCCATTAGGACGACGATGCCAGCGATTCTTGTTTGAAATTTCATTAGACTCCCTGCGATTGAATCGTTCACAATCACGATCGAAGTCGCCATCGTAGCGCCAGTCAAGACATTTACCACAACGAGAACAAGCATTTCCATGACATAGTGGAAGTTCGCGCTTTTCTGATTCTGACATAAGTGACGGTATCGAGTTTCCTCTACTCTGGTGTGATTGCTAAAAGAAGAAAAATCAACCTTTCAGATGGTTTATATTGCAAATCTGTGTTTGAGATACTGTAGCTTCAATAAATGTATAAGTACATGCATTTAAAAGATTAACCGAGAAAATGTCGGAATACTACTGAAAATGTATCTATAAAACTGGGAATGTTTCTGAAAAGGTTTGTCAAGTCGGGTGTGGGTGGGTGTGGGTGTGCGTGAGGGATTGCAATCTACTATTCACCCACACCCACGTCCACCCTCAACAGTCAAAATACTTTTAGTGAACCGCTCGATTATGCCTGTTTTTCGACATTTTCACGTAACTTTGTTCTAGGTCGTTCTAAGCCAAACTAGATGCAAACCTACACTAAAAACAAAAAAGGTGTCACGCGAAACCTAAAAAAGGTTTCGTAGCTAATACAAAACCATTTTTGAGTTTCGATGTTTGTAACGAATTCGAAACCATTTTTTAGTTTCGTACAATACTACGAAACCCTGAAAAACGTTTTCTGAATGGCTGAAAAGCTTCTGTAAGGGCTTCGTAGTATTATACTAAACCCCAGATAAAAAACTGAAGGTTTCGGAGGTTCATACGAAATCTTAAAAGTATTTTCTAGGGTTTTTGAGAAATTTCTGTGAAAGTTTCGTATGAACCTCCGAAACCTTCAGTTTTTTATCTGGGGTTTAGTATAATACTGCGAAGCCTTTACAGAAGCTTTTCAGCCATTCAGAAAACGTTTTTCAGGGTTTCGTAGTATTGTACGAAACTAAAAACTGGTTTCGAATTCGTTACAAACATCGAAACCCAAAAATGGTTTTGTATTAGCTGCGAAACCTTTTTTAGGTTTCGCGCGACACCTTTTTTGTTTTCAGTGTAGTATATGTTTATATCAAAATGATCAGCTCGTCGAGCTCTACAAACCCTGAAAGTTTGAGCAAATTCTGAGACGGTCGTGTACAAAGTAGTACGTTTCCCGTGGAACCACCCATAGTATTTTTATAGTAAATGTTATATTCTTGCTGATTTGCATAAGTGAAAAACATTAGTAGTTTGTACAACATTTTCAAAAGAAATAAATATTCTCTGATTACTTATTTTAACTTGATGAAAAACAATAAAAACGAGTAGAATGTATAAATTCAGTTTTTCTCCCCAAGTATTTGACAAAAATATCACTTAGATCGATCTATACCGATCTGTGGCAGTCTGAAAGCTTATATTAGAGTGACTCAGTTTCAAGTTTGCCTCTTATTATTTCATACAGTCAAACGCAACTTTTTATTTGCACTCCTATGATATAAAATTCATTACTTACCCGGTTGAAATTACCAAGTTACTCTGGCGAAATTTTGCTTCTAACTTAACAAACAAAACGAAAAAAAGTGCTTGTACGACAAACACATGAGACAAAAGAAGAAAAATAAAAGTGCTCATACGATAACCAGTAGAGGTGAAGGAAGGAAAAGAAAAATGCTTTTACAAGAAGCAGTAAATAAAACTGGTGTGAATCTTACAAAGGCGTACAACTTTGAAAAAAGCTAACGAAAAGCTTTAAGAAAAAGGAAAAGTATGGCAGCTGAGAGTACAGTGGTAGCGAATCCGACTAATACGAACGACGTCAACGACGAAAAACTTGAAGAAGTTTATTTTCTTGAGGAAGGTGCTGCGCAATTACTTGATCAAGGACGAACATTTGACGCAGTTAAAAAGTTGTCTTTTCAAGCCACTCTTGGGAAGAACTCATATTACTCAGGTACCCATCGTATTCGGATAAAACTGCACTATGGCTCTGCATTTATCGGAATCCGTTCACGTCATATACGGGTTGAAATGGATCCTTATCTTATGGCAGGCCAGTATCATAAAACTCCTTCTACATATGGATGGAGCACGGCTGGCCGTCGCTTTCTTAATGGAGATTCTGATGGATCCAGAATAAAGATGGATGAAATAGAGGATGTTATGATTGAATTAACACTCCATTGTGATGAGCACCGACTAAGTATTATCATGAGTAAGAACAACTGTTTACGGGATGAAATGGAAGTGGATCATCTTCATGCTCCGTTTCCTTGGCGCCTGTTTGTTCAACTCAATCGCGGCGGTGCTCGTATATCACTTTTATAAATACTTTGAATACAAAATAAGTTAACTCGAATATCCATCTTGAGTGGGTGTATTTAAATATAATAAATAAATGAATTCAAAAGACAAACATCTATCTTGAGGGTAAGGGTGTGGGTGTGATTATACAAGATAATTTCAAGCTACTTACGACGATCGTTTCGATCCTTGATTAAGAGACTATCATCGGTTTATTTTGGAGCTAATCTCTACAGCTCAATTAAATGTCAAAATACACTGTCGACAGCAGCTTAATTTGGAAGAAATAATGCAACTCCGTTCTTGAAACTAACTGAGAAAAAACGGATGGAAGCGAAGTATTCGCATAGTTCTGTGATAATTGAATCTTATCACAATGGTTAGACGAACTCCAACGCATTGACTACCTCCTGTTAATGGGACATTGACAAAATATATGAACGTTAGTGATTACAAGAAAGTTAAAGGAAAAATAGAAATATCAGCAAATTTTTATTTTGAATAAAAAGGGTATTTTTCATCTATCTCTTTTTAGTACGCTACTAAACATTCACAAGTTTTTTCTTTTCTGAATAATAGTACTTATTGGACATATTTACTATCAAATGATATGGTAAAAGACTGAGACAAAACCCTAACCATCTTGAAGATGAGGGTGTGGTGTGAATTAAATGCAATACCCACACCCACACCTACACCCACACCCTAACGAACATGATTATTGAACTATAGCTTACCAATTTATGTTATATATTACTTTTATCCAGTTTTGTATATTAATAAGATGAAATAATTAAACTTGAGATTAAGCCACGAAGATCATCAGATAGCAAACAAAATTTTTATGATTAATAAAATATTAATCACAATATCAAATTATTACTGTGGCATATTTCAAAAAATCAAAGTATGTAAGATAATATACATTTTCGCTTTAATCTTTAATTTAATTCAAATTAATAAATCAAATCAAGATATTTTATCGTTACTTATTGAATATATTCATATAGTTTACTGACTAATTTGAGTCAGTTTTTTTTGACAACAACTTTTCAGAAAAAAAATACGAATCGTATTCTGCAAAAACAAAGACTGAAGATCAAATATGATGAGAGAACAGTTATACACTATACTATTTAAACACAGTTGTTTCATTATCTTCGAACGAATATTAACGACAAATAGTGATGACATAAACTATCCTATTAGACATACAATGAGGTATCTCTATATGATAAATCTACAAAAGCCAGTATCAAAAGCATCGTTGAACTTCTGTATCTCTTAATTTTCATTCAATATACACATATAATTCAATTTTCTTTCTTAAATTTTTACAAAAATAAATATAATAATTCAATAAAATCCAAAAAAACTGATTAAATCTTAAATGATTTTAATAGTTTCTATATCAATAGTTAATCATTTGACAATAAAATTATTTTTATTCTTACATAAAAATTTTCTAATTAATTAATTTAATAATCTTTTATTTTTCAAACAATAATATTCAATTATTATGAATCTTTACATTCGTTGAAAATAATAAATAACATCTATCTATCAATAAAAATAGAAAATAAATTATTCTCATTATTTTTCCTAAATATTTATCAACTTCAACTAATTAGAATCTGATATTAAACATTCTCTTTTATTATTCATAAAAATATTTTAAATTATTTCTTTAATTATTCTAATGAGACATTATTCCTGAGAAATGCTACTACTGAAATGTCAAAGAATAATAAAATTAATACTCACGTCTCCAAATTGTTTTTATTGTATCAAAGTTCAATGAAAAAAAACGAGTATCTTATCACAAAAAAACTTCATTGATTTGAAAGTTATTAGCAATTTGGATTTTATTTGACGAAAATTCAATTTAAACCATTTTTCATATAAACTTTTTATTCAAAATCAAAAATAAAGAAAATGTTGAATTTGAAATGAATTCAATATGTCTTTGAAAAACAAAACAAATCTGTTTGATATCAAAAATCGAGTATAAATTTTATATTATTTCATAACTTTTAGTATCAATGTTCATTTTTCTTCCATAATTCTTGTTTTTGCTTTTCATCTAAATGAAAATGTTCCTGTTGATTTATTTTGAAATTTCAAATACAATTTCTTTTTACTGGTCTCATTTTGACGAATCAATCTTGAATTCAATTTTTATAATGAAATTTTTCTAAAACATTTCTTTCCTCTTCAACTTTAGACAATTTGATTATTCTCATCTAATAAAAATATTCAAATAGAATTTAATCAAACATGAAATCTTCTTTTCAAATAATTTTTATTTCAGTTCAATTCAAATTACAAAATATTTTCTTCTCTTTTCTGCTGTAAAATTTGAGAAAAACTAACAAAAGATGAAAAATTTAACATTTATTTAATCCATTAAAATCAAAATTACAATTACAAAATTATTTCAAATTTTTGAATTTGATTATTTGAATAATCAGCAACATAAAGATTTTCTTCATCATCAAAAGATAAACCTTGAGGATAATTCAACTGATTTGGTTGATTTCCTGGACCATTTCCACCAACAACAATTTCACCTTCTTCTTTTCCTTCAAACCAACGTATTACTCGGCCATTTCCACTATCCGCCACATAGAGTTGACCCAAACCATCAATAGTTACTCCTCGAGGTTTAGACAACTGATTGAGATTTGCTCCTTCACCATTTCCTCCAGCCATAATTGTTCCTTCTTTTGCATCTTTTCTCCATTTCACCACACGGTTATTGTTGTAATCTGATACATAAACAGATTGAGCTTCATCAACAAAGATAAAACTAGGATTATTAAGTTGATTGAGTTGATCTCCTTCTTCATTTCCACCTGCCACTACAATTCCTTCATTGTATTCTCCCATTTTCCATCTTCTCACTTCGTTCTTCCAAGAATCAGAAACATAAAGAAATCCATTTTTATCCATGGCCAAGCCATTACAGTCAATATTGTCAATGAGAATCTGTTGAGTCTGATTCAACCATTGAATCACTCTTCTGTTCCAATAATCAGCAATGATGATCGAACGATTTCCGTAATCAACAATCACATCTGTTGGACGAAGTAGTTGATCCATTTGATCACCTTGCCCATTTCCACCTGCAATAATTTGTCCCTCTTTTGTATTATATTTCCATTCAACAATACGATGATTGTTACCATCAGCAATGAGAATATTTTTCTTTTTATCAATAAAAACCCCATAAGGACTACTAAGTTGATTTAATTCTTGTCCTTCTCCATTTCCACCAGCCACAGTAATGGCATTTTGTTTCCATTTGAGATTAATCTTATCTAAAAAAAGAGGCAATTTATGGTTTCAAATATCTTGAGAGTGTGGAGAAGAATATTGCATCTATCATCCACTCACTTTTCATTGGTGGACAGTAACTTTCATGGATCATTCCAGTTGGATAGCAGAGAGGACGATCATCGCATTGCGGATGTTGAACACAAATTGTATTAGATTGAAGGCACGAATTGTCTATGGAATTGCATGGTACAAGACGAGAACAAGTTGGCCAAAGAAATCCACAAATACCTGTATCATCGGTAGCACCTAACATATGGAAACATCCACATGCACTGTTTGTTGAACATTCACCATACTGAGGTGTTTTCTCACATATTTGAGATTTGATTTGAACTATGAAAGTGATAAACTAATACATATAAACAAACAAAATAGAATAAAAAATCAAACCTGTTATGCTAAAATATGAAATGAATGAATATTAACAAGATTAGTGATAGAAATCAACAATTATTTACCTGAGAATAACGAAAACAATATAACAATGCATCATCATTGTATTCATAGTTGATTTTAAAATGAGAGAATATGATGAAAAAATGCGTGTTTTTATTTCTAAAACACAGATAATATCTTAAGTCAGTGTAATTGAAATATAAAAGATGGATCTATTCACATATCAATAATTGAAAATATGATATTTCGTTTCATTTCTTCTAATCGTTCTGATTCTGCTTTAGTCTATTTTCGCCGAAGATGAAATTTATCGAATCGATTATCGTTAAATGGATTTATCAAAGAAAGCTCATAAAAACTGCATAAAATCAATCTTACAGACACGAATTGTATTTTCAATAATTAGCCGACGATACCAAATCAATTGATATCCAACTTAGATAGTTGTTAACTCAAACAATTACTTAGGCGTTTACGTTTGAAAAATGGATGAATCATTCCACGCCCAAACCCTTCGAAAATAGACTGCAGTCGATTATCAACGGGATAATAAAAAGTAATAACAGATAGATTTATAAGTGAATATACGAGCAGAATTTTATTATAGAACAATGCAAGTTCTAATGATTTAATATTATCGAAGAAAAACTATCGATCCTAAGTAATTGTAAATTCTCTTGCTTCAAACTTCGAAGAGCGTCTTGTTTCACTAAAAACAAAATGTATACTGAATCATCAGTAATATGAATATTTTTTACATAGTTATATTTGTTTTGAAGATAAGACACATTGAAAAATATTGTTCTGCTCTTTATATTTTAGAAAAATTTGATTATTTGTAAAAGTACTTTTAAAATAAATAATGCATTTTCACTGAAAGATGTGTGTTCTGAGGAGACGCGAAGTAATATGGATGGTATCTGAAGCTTCTGTAGGATGTTTTGAATAGAAAAATAGCATATTCTTTTGTTCTCACCGTAAATAAATA